AGACATATTGGCCCATATAAATTATACAGTGGAATGAGGCACGTAAATGGAAGAGTGCCTTATTACTGCATTATGTTAGACATCCATGCACGTAATTTAGGTTTGGATTTTCTACATCGGAACTTTACGGAATTTACTTTCGTCCAAATTAACATTAACATATTCCCAACGATCACAACAACCAATCATATTCAAGTCACATGATATGGACTATGAGAAGCATCCGCGATGCGAAATTGGTAAATTATGTGCGTATATGCATTCGCATAATCTTTGACACCCTATTCCGAGCATATACTTTCATATGAACATAACCATAACCTCACATTTAGTAAGTCCCGGAGATTTTCCCAATTTTAGTCTCAAACCCGTAAATATGCTGTTGCACACATGTTCTTGAAATAAAATGCATCTAATCAAAAGGCAAAATACCTGATAACGATTGATTTACATCAGCCAATCAAACAAACTTCTTCCTATGAGCATGGGGTAAGGTAAATTTTTTGGTAAACCGAAGGATGTGGAGTAAAATAAAATTGCATATTCTATTTAAATATTCGCATAGTTTTAAAATTATTTCACATCCATCGTATAATTGACCTCAGTAAAAAGATGACGAAATGGTTTCGTCAGGTGACTTCAAGTTGACGGAATGAACTAATGACGAATGGCGAAGCCCATGACGAATGACGAAACTTATGACAAAATATGTCGAGTAATATATTTTATATTTAAATATAGCATTTGGGCGTAATATTTGTCGGGTAATGATTGGTTGCACGTGATTTCGCGGTCCCATGGGACCGCGAAACTATAATGGTAGGATCTATAGATGGTGACGAAACTATTTTGTCGCTGACGAAATGACGAAACTCGTATGTTTCGTCATGTTCGTCACTGACGAAATGACGAATTATGTAGTTTTGTCAGATCACAAGAATTTATGTATAGCGATAAGGTTGTGTGACACTATAATTTGCTCGATGCGATGTAAAAGTCTATTACTACTCGTATTAGTTATTTGAAAGTTAATTGTAGTATGATGTATAGCAATTGGAAAATGTGTACCAGGTTGGTGGCACAGACAAAATTTTTAAAATTCGTTAAAGTTAGGGTTAGGGTCAGGGTTAAGAATTAAAGGGTGTAGTTTTAATAGTAAAATTGTCCAACGAAAACTTTTTGTTAGAGCACAAAAGGTGGTTTCTTATGCAGATTTTTGAGTTATGAGCGATTGTTGGCAGAACGAACGTTCGTTTTGAATCTTCTTGATTGTGTTATGTTACACCTAATCTTGAAAGCTGATTCGTAGATCAGAAGGACTACGTCACCAACCTGGTACACATTTTCCGACTGCGATGTAATAGACAAGTGATTTAATCACATATGACCAAAATTTAAATAAAAGATTCGATCTTAAAGATCGAACCTAGACATTGATTTTTCGTTAAATAAACTTGTACCTGAAGAGAACATTGTGCCTCGCTAATTAAGTGGTAGTGAAGGAGGTGCTAAGTGAGAAAACGAAGGGCGAAGTACTGCAGCAAGCGAGTGGAGAAACAAACTAATAAATTAAATAATTGTACAAATCGTCTGCTAGAATTAAATACATAAGGGTTTATTAACCACCTTGTCAATATGCGATTTGTTTTGTTTAAGAATCATTGAAAATGCTTAGTACAGTACATAACGATAAACGTCTTCTGGCGTCTTGAGGGTCAAATAAAAAAAACCAAACTAGTTAGTGCCTGCAAAATACATAACGATAACAATTATGCATAACAATGTATACCTATCGAAGTGTAGATAAATAAAATAAGTAAAAAAAATGAACATTATGTAACTTTATACGAGAATGACGTAATAGCAAATTTAAGTATATATAGAAGGTTCTTTTCTTAAAAATTGAAGATAATAATGGATCGACTAATTTGCACTTGTTTGTAAATTGGTTGTCATTATCCGCGTGTTTGTGCTTTCTCGAACTTCTCTGTTGTTGAACTACCCAAAATTTACGTTACTTTGTAGTTGTGACGTCGAGGTATTAAGATTAAAATTTGATTGCATAATGGTTCAGAAAATTTACCAATAGCACTTCGAAAAGCATGTCAAAGTTTCAAAAAATAAAAAAATAAAGCTTTTATGAAATGCTTTTTTTGTTTATTATTATATAGTTTCGCCAATCGTTTCGTCAGTAGTTTCGTCAATAGTTCAATCGTTAATAGTTTCGTCAATCGTCTGTAGTTTCGTCAATCGTCAAAGTATCGTCAGACGAAACCATGACGAAACCATGACGAAACCATTTCGTCATTCGTGAAAATAGTTTCATCACCCATCTTTACCTCAGTCACATTGCATAATTTACCCTACCACACAATCTACCCTAGCGATATCCCGAATTTTTCTGCAATCATGTGAATAGAAAATCTATTAAATAATTTAATTACAATGTATTTTTTTTTTTTAATGATAACTTTTAATTATCAATATTGATATGTATTTTTCCCGAAAATAAAAAATATGCAAGTTTCTTAACGTTTGTTCAAATAATATATACTTTTTATATTAGTAACAGTCTTCGATTAATTGTATAAAATACAGAAATAAAGCCGATCAAATGTAATAAATGTAATTGGCAAATTTTAAATTTATATTTTGCTAAATTTAAATTCACGTCTTAAGCACAGCCAATTAAATCATTACAATATTCATGTGATTACTGAAAAATCGTTGGGAGCGCAATATTTAAAAAATCGTATATTTTTTTTAATCTCAGTAAATATCATTAAATTTTTACTTTTAATTTTAATCATCAACATCAGTAAACTGAATATTTCACATATACCGCGCATATTTTGCAAATTCTTATCACATAAATAAATTTCGTGTCCCTGTATTATGCGCATCCACAAGATTTTGATACTGATTGGATGTAGTAATCGAATGATTTTCACGATACAATGATCTACGTATAGTACATTCTTGCTTACCCTATATACCGAGAGATCCTCTATGTACAGTTCCTTTTAGATAAAATGGATAGATCGTCAATAATGGTAATAAAATCTTATATTACTGCATTATCATACGAGCGCCTGGTAATATATTTATATGGTTTAAAGTTTATAAAAAATATATGAGTGTAATAATTTCAAAAGAAATATTTTTTAATTACATAATTGTTTATATATTTGTATATTAAATATATAAAAATTAGAATGCAATTATAAACTAAATAAAGAATAGATATAAAGATTTTAGTTAAAGTTAGGTTTAAGGATATTTTAATATTTTTGCTTAGTATTTTTAATATGAATTAGCTAGTAGGTTTTTAAAATACAGCATCATGGTAATTAAAGTCACAGACAGAATATCAACAAAATGACATATCAATGCTATACCCAAATTTTATATAACATGAAGGTGATGTAAAAGATTGCTAGCTTGGATCATCTAAATATTGCAGTTATATATCATATCATAATGATGATATGGCAATTTATGATAATTAACAAATTTCTTTTAAAAAATATTACAAAATAGCTTATAGTATGAAGCTAGACCAAAGAATCTAACTTAATTTTAAAATTTATCAAAAAACATACAATTATAGAAGATTTCATTAGTTTTAACAAACCATTATATATCCAAAACTTACTGTATATGTAAATATAATATAAATTACATGAACTTATCCGTATATAAAGGCATATTTTTTTAAATAATACAAAATTTAAATTTTACTATTATAAAAAAAGCTTTTATTTAAATTTTACAAAATTTAATAAGTTTTATAAGAAATATATTTTTCTTTTTTATTAAAGCTTAATTTGAAAATCATATGACAAGTGATTTATGTTTATAACACGTATTTATACATAATATGTATGCTTTGCAACTGCTTATATTTTAAATTAGTGTTAACGAGAGTTGTTTCTTTCGAATTATTTTTTGTAACTTAAATTAAATCTATCGCTCTTGTCATAGATTCAACTAAAATCGTATATGATAATATGCATAGAAAAGGGGATGCACGATAATAAATCAATTTCTTTAAATAAATTTAGTTGTTTTTATATCTCACAATACATCCCATATGACAACAATGACCTTCAATTTTTGCATCTCGACATGGCAATGATGAGGTCGAGGTGAGAATATCTACCACAAAGGATAATTTTTGATCTGGTCTACACCAGTTGGAAACAAGCTTTATGTCTTCTTGAGATAGCCCAGGAAATAACTCGCCACCTTGACTATTTGGACGGCCTTTCTTTGGTTTTGGTCCTCTTTTTTTTGGTTTAGTAGAATAAACGCATTCATAATTATGTTTTATGCATACGCTGCATTTGGTAGATTGATCGAGATGTCCTGCATTGTCGCATTTAATTTTTTTACGTTTACAAGCATCACACGCTTGAGTCACGTTAGATCGGTTTTTAGAGAATCTATTTGGTGCTGATTGCATTTTGAACCTTTCACAAAGTAATAATTCGTAAGGCTTCAATATAATAACTGCTTGACTCTCAAAATTTTCTTTACTGAAACTTGCGAAATTAAGTAGTAGGCGTATTGCTAACTTATAGTAAACACACAGCAATAATAAAATAATTATATAGTAACTTTAAAATTAAAAAAATCAATAGTAGTAGCGTATTGCTAACGTGTAGTAAACGCAAAGAGAATTGCTACTACCAAGTAACTATATTAAAGCTGCAAATTTGGCAGTTTCAGCAAAGTTCAACATTAAAGGGAAATTAGCAGTATTTATATTTTTTGCAGAGTGGTTTGTTAAACAAACTTCGGGCGAACCTGTGGCTTACTCTAATAGCAATGTCATCAACATATTCTTGTATAAGTTGATATATTCGTTGATTTCTATGTTGTTCGGGCGAATCTATTGAATTACTACATCATGTTTACGTTAAAAGTTGCATTAATTGTTTAACCCGAACATCCTTTTTTAGTAAGGTTTTATCAAAACATTAATACTGCAAATCTAACTGGTATTATATCTGTGGAAATTCAAATAAGACTAAGGTTAAACAATTGTATTTAATTCCTAATCTGTAATATAATTTTTTTTTGCAGATAAAATAATTTCCCGGCATGTATTCTTTTTATATTCTTTCCAGATTTTTCTTTCTTTTTTTTTTTTTTATTATTTCTAACCGTTCTAATTTAAACTAAATTAGGTTTTAAGTTTCGGATTACTGCAATTATAATTATTATATAAATATAATTTATGAGGAAATAATTTAAGCTAATATTATATATTAGTATGTTATCCATCTACTGATCTATAATAAGTTCACCAAAAATTGATATCTAATTAGGATCAACGAAAAATAGTTTTGATAATAGCATTAAAGACAAAAAACACATTGATATAGAGACGATTGTTTATTCGTACAGAAATTCCTATTTATCTAAATAGAAAATCTTTTTAATCTATTTTTGGTCATAGTAATCACGGATTTAGTCTTCCGAATGTTCAATATGCATATGTGCGTAGCTTGACCATCCTTTCTGAGCTTCTACCTAATTGCTTATTAGGGGAGTGGCTAAAGTCATGTACCCACGTGATTTTTCAAAGTTTTAATTAAAATTGAGGTTCGGACTAATTTAGCATTGGGGTTAAGGGTTAGGGCTAGGATACATATATGCAAAATTGTCTTCTCGACATTTTTTATTAATGCCCTAAGACAGGTTATGACTGTCGTTTTTCGTATTTTTGCAGTTTCTTTATTTTTAACTTCTTCGGGGCGATCCGTGTGAACAAAAATTTCACGATTCCGGTTGGCTGATTTACACAAAAATGTCACGTGGGTTCATGGCTTGAGGCGACTCCTAAATCGGTAACGATGATCAAATATGTTTCTACGTGACGCAATTTCGAAAAATCAAATATTTACTAAATATCTCTCGATGAATTCTTTTCTTGCATAGGGGTATCGCCGAGAAAATTCTAAAAAAATCCAACTGAAAAAAATTATAAATTTAAATATGGACTGTCGACAATAAAAATTCAATTTATCTAACAAATATGCATTATTTCTATTAATGACATCGGATTAAACGTCATTAATAATAATTCTGCCTTCTTACATCATTTAAAAAGAATACCATTAATATAAAAGGTTTGATTCTAAAAATAACCAATTTTTTTTTTAAATTGTTATTTTGTAAAAAAAAAACCCGAAAACCGAGGAGTCTAAAAATAGAATTCTTGAAATACGGGTTTTTAGTTATACTAATACGTATCAAAAAACAGTTTTCTCAGATTGTTCAAAAATCTATATTCTTATATATTTTTAGACATCTTAGTTTTCACTTGGTAGCATCCATTAATAAAGCTACGCGATATTATGTAACCTACAAAATTCATCTAAGAGAGGAAGAGGACTTTAGACAGATATAAAAACTTGCTTCCTGTAGATTACAGGATTAGTGCAAGTGTTTAAAATTGATTTGAAGTAGATGTAAATGCATGTAAATTTTATTGTAAAACTGTTTTACACTTTTGTTACACGAAATTTCCAATCTGTGCATATTTATGAAACAACGACATAGATTTATGCATTTTTGCACATGATTTCATAGAAAGATTTTTGTCTGATTGCTAGTAAAATTATTACTAGGTAATGCATAGCATTTTATCTCCTGGTCAACCTCATCTAAGTAACTTTTTCGTATACTTATTTCCACCGGTATATCTATTAAATATATGAAATAATTTTATAATAATAGAATTATACGTTTAGATATCCCATATAAATGATGTTTTTATATTATGTCATTAAAATAAAAAATTTTTTTTTATTATCTGTTACTGTAAATTTGCAGATATCAAAATATAACCCGATTCAACCCGGTTGGGTCCCTAAAATCGACCCGAGTGACCATTTCGGAGCACTATTGTAGATACACAAAGAAACATTAACTTGTTGGGAAAAGTTTAAAGTATATGTAAATAATGCATTTCCTCAAGTAGGCCTTAAAATGTTACAAGGCAAGATACCTTCTTTTTTAATTTATCGTCCAAGCAAAAACCTGAGAAAAAAATGATTATTCTCTATCTATGTATTGGTTGCGCAATAAATTTGTATATAAATTACTAAAGTTCGGAATTATACCAATACCATATGAAATTGAACCAATTAATAACATTAATCTTATTTATTGAAACGGACAATTGATTCAGATAAGAAATTTTTAATTTTAATTTTTGCTTTTAAATTTATATTACTATTATTACAGTATTATTGAGGTGATTAGTATTCGAATAATATTGTGCTGTGATAAACTATTCGGATTTATGAAAAGATTCCCATGAATATTGACCGTACTACTCGAAAAATCGTCAAAAACGCGCGTATACGTAGTCGATGTTGGTGTTGATATTTGAGTATTACGAATATGCAAATATAAGTACGATTGATGCATATAACATTTTTTTGATCCTAAAATGGACAATAATGAGGGGTATAATGCATTATTGTGACAGCTCATAAAGGAAATGAAGTGGCGTTTTGCAAAACCAGAAAGTCTTCTGCGATGATGATCTTTTGGTTCTTAGATGTGTTCAACCTGCATTAGACAAATAGAAAATGAGAATTACTGTAACACAGCAGCATGCGACCTGCTTATTCTATATACTAACACTAACTTTTAACTATAATACTGTGTCAATAAGGTTAATGCTCATTGTTGATTCGACAATATTGCTTCCGTAACAATTTTCTAAAGTTTCATGCACATACGCATGTGGTATTAAGTTTGGATCTATCTCTATATGTGAGCTAGCGCGAGAAGTGGGATGAACTCATGTGTGTAACTGAGTTTAACATTTAGCAGTTAATAGATTTTAACTTTAATTCTTTTTCTAGAATATTCTATTTATCATCAGTACGATGAAACGCTATCATACTGAGTAAATCAAATAAAACCTTTTTAAGAAACAAACAATTACGTACCAGAATAAGTAACAGTTAAAAGCATATTAATAATCTTGATCGCGTGCATCTGAAGAAAAAAAAGACAGATAGTTCCGAATAAATCTTATTCACGTATGATATCGTGTGCGTTATAGTTTGCAACAATTAACGACTATTAAACAACAAAAAAAAAAAAAAAAAAAAAGGGGGAAAAGAAAAAATCATGTTATCTATCTATCTACCTGTTATAAAATTACTTGGCATCGTGTGCATGTCCGCCCGAATTGAATCAAGAACGTTATCAATAAACATTCTTGAATTATAGTTACTTTAAAATATTTAATTATATATATATATTTGTATTTTGTATACGATTTTGTAATTGTATATTTGAGGAAGCTATTATGTTCTCTAGTAAAATTGGATCTGAATATAAGTAATCTCTTCACTTTTACTCGAAAAAAATTCTTATATTTCAGTTGGTAATAATAAATTGAATAACTGCTTGACAAATTTAACTGAAGGCATTATAAATATAATTTAATAGTAATAAAAGAACGTTGATTACAATAGAACATTACTTTGATATCATTCATTAGACATTTTTAAATTTCTTATTCCAATTTTAATCAACTAGATAAACAATAGAATGAATTTTTTGCATATTAAACAATGAATAATTGATATTGCAAAAAAAATCGAATTTGTTACTGTATAACTCATTTTAAGTTAGGATACTACTAGGTGTTGGAATGAATTCTGTCTTTTGATAACATTTTTTATATAATATAAATCCAGCAAAGGATAAAATTCCAATCAATAAAATTACACCCACACCAGTGCCAATTCCAATAAATAACACGTTATTAAATGACGGGTTATTATTGGGAAAGGTTACACTTGTTTCCAAGCTTGTAGGTTGACTTGGATTTATTGAAGTTATCCAGATATAATTTTGTATATCTAAAATATAAACATTATTACTTGTTACGTAAGTTGACGCTGTTACAAGTTGACCTGAATATAAAAATTGATTAATGTTTTGTAAAGAAAAAATAAAAACATAATAATATAGCAATTACCAAATGCAATAAACATATAATTTTTATATAAAATAGAAGAATGAAATGCAAGTGACGGTGGCGCATTTGTTTGAGAAATGGTTGGACTAGACCACGACCAGGTATTAGTATTCAATATTGCAATAATAGGAAGCACTTGTGGACTTGATACAAAGCTTACACCAGTCGTACTATTTGCTGTGCCTCCGTATATAATAATGTCTCCATTTTGAGCTGATGAAAAGTAATTGTTACTATAAAGTATTCTGCATTTTTTTGTTTCAGCACCAATATCCGATATGCTTACTTAGAACGGCTGAATGTCCAAGACGAGCATCGATATAATCGCCACTCGCATTCTGAAATTTCACAAGTACTGTAAACAAACCTATAATTATTAATGAATGTACACGTATCGGCGCGTTTTTAAAATTTAACGTTAGACCAAGGTGAGGCATCTTCCCACAAAA